TTACGAATTCTCTTACAATCTGTCAGTGGCCAAACTGCCAGTGCAGGAACACAGCACAAGTGAGGTGAGCTGCCATTGCTTCCAGACACCATCAGAGATGCTGAAACTGTATTTCCCCTCAAAACAATGAGGCATCTAACACAATACCTGCCATTCACTACCCTCTCCCTTATCTGTACATGAAGCAGCTGAACCTTTTGATTCCATTTAGGAATACAGTAAGAGCGTCCAGAGTGATTTTATGGACTTTAACGATTTAAGAGTTCAACTGCAAGAACCTGCAGTAGGTGACAGCAGAGCCCTCAGTCTGCTTTCACTCTTTATTGAGGCACTGGAACGAGTACATAGGAGGGCAATGAAACTGGTGAAGCGCCTAGAGAATCAATCTTATGAAGAACACTTGAAGGAGCTGGGAATGTTTAGTTTGAGGAGGCTGAGGGGAGACCTCATCAGTCTCTACAACTACCTGAAAGGTCATTGTACAGAGGTTGGTGCTGGTCTCTTCTCACAGGTCATTAGCGACAGAACAAGAGGGAAGGGCTTCAGGCTGCAACAGGGCAGGTTTAGACTGGACATTAGGAAAAAATGTTCACAGAAAGAGGGTTTGGACACTGGAATAGGCTGCTCAGGGAGGTGGTTGAGTCACCATCCCTGGATGTGTTTAAGGGTCGCTTGGATGTGGTGTTGGTGGTTATGGTTTAGGGGAGAACTTTGTAGAGTAGGGATGATGGTTGGTGATGCCAAGGGTCTTTTCCAACTTGAATAGTTCTATGATTCTATGATTCTTTGCATTTACTGTGCTGCTACCCAGTTTTGTGTGCATAATGGAGGACAAGACAGAAAAGAACAAGCGAAACCCACTGAACTCCTGGACAGTTTCAATTTGGGACATCTGCTTGCTGTAGCAATTAAAATAATGTCATTATACCAAAATAAAGGAATCTTCAAGTTCATTTTTGCTAGTAAGAATTGCACTGAAGTACTTTCATCACCTCAGTTTGATGCTGAGTCACTCATTATGTTAACATCCTTCTTGACATAAAGATGACCCATACATACAACCACCCATATCCCTATTCTTTCTGCTGTCCTCTGAGAAGAAGTAAAAAATTAATTCATTTCAAAAATGAGCAATGAACTCTTCAAACACAGCAGTCTATCATAAATGTCTTTTTTATAGTAGAGTTTACTACTGCAAAAGAGCTCTATTACAGCTTGAGCTCATCCTGTTCTGGTTTTTTCTATATACACATACATTTTGTACTTGAATTTTCTATTTAGCTAGTGAGATAAAACAGCTCAATACCTGGGCAGACTGTACTTTCAGTACACACTCCAATATATACTGATGCACAGTCTATCACACTTTCATTTAAACTCAAATAGAAAACAGCCATAATCCACTCCCAATAGTTTTCTGGCTCTATAGAGAAAATCATCCCAGAGCACTTTTATGGGGTTTATGAAAATATGAGTATGTTTGCATAGGAAAATAAAAGAGTGAAACAACACAAGTAGCCACCATTATCAAGAAGTACTTAAGCCTGCTCACTGTATGCAAACAGGCCTGTGGACAGTTTACTTGCAGCTGCTGTTAGTCGTCATGCTTGCATTGCCCCAGGGCCACTTAACACATGCCCTCTGAGGCTGTGCTTTTACAAAACAGCCCCCAAATTTTACCAGAAGCACTTTTGCCTTCTCTGAACAAGCACTGGGGCTCTGTTCAATCACAAACCCCTCTCATTTGCCATGTGGACACAACACACTCATCAGCAACACTGAGTCTTCTCAAAATCAAAAAACTCCACCTGAGAGGATTCAATGAGGTGCTAGATGAGCACTGCAACTGTGAGAAGGGAAGCTGATGGCTGGGGCTCTGTGAGGTGCTGCTGACCTTCTTCAGCAGCAGAAAGCAGCTTCAATCTGCTCCAGCTGCCTGAACAACAGTGCTGAGACACAGGTCTGACCATGCCCATGCAAATGGGAGCATTGTCCCTGCTGTCAGTGACATACAGCTGTTTCAAGCACCTCCATCACTACACTGCCAATAATGCAGTCCAGGGGTATAAGCTTCCTGTCAGGAGAGAGGTGTTACAACACCTCTGTTCTGCTCTATTCATTAACTTCTTAGTGGTGAGCACTTCCCCAGGATCACAAATAGAAATACTACTTGTTAGCTGCTTGCTTAATTTGCACCTCCCATCAAGGACTTCTCAATACACACTTGTTACCCAAGAGGCTTTTCTGAAATAGTTCTCAGGTTCTAGAACAGAGAGTGAGAAGAGTCTCTGACCTTCATTCGATTCTGTTTGATGCCTTCTACAATTTGCTCCATCTGCCGTAAGAACTGCTCACGAGAACCAGAAGATGCCATTGCTCTGGAAAGGAAAGGAGAGAACAGCTGAGAGGGGAGTGGGACACTGTGTCTCACCTACAGTTGTCTGGCATATTTACTTGTGCCCAAGAATTCACACTGTTTGGTGTTCTATGTAAAAATTCATCTTTTTAATCACTGATTTCTGGTAAAAGTGCAGCTCCTCAGCTGGTTAAAACTATCAAAGAGATGGGAACAGTGACTGCAGAGCTCACCTCAAGTGTTCTCCCTGTCACTCCCAGGCTGTTCCCAGTCTGTATAGAAATAAACTGCTATTAACTAACCCAAAGCACACCTCTTAAAAACAGCTGTTGTGATCATTAAGAAAGTGAGCAGAGGACTAGGAGGTCAGTTAATATTCTAAAATATAATTTCATGCCCTAATAGGTAAAGTCCAGAAGTAATTTTAGGTCTGTAACATATCTTAAACAGATTTATTAAAATACTACTACTAAAATAATACTATTTCCCCATTCAACAAAAAATCAACGCAAACCCCATCTGTCTATTGCACCACTGGTTTCTACTGACTGGACAGAATCAAAAGGATCTCATCACCAAGCTAAACATGAACAAGCCCTGCTGCAAAGGCAAACATGAAATACTTGGTTCCCAGTTTCTGTTGCAGTTAAATGATTTGAATATCACAAAAATAGAAAAATAGAAAAAAATAGAAAAATAATTTTAAAAAGCCAACAACTTCTGACTGAACACAGGACACAAAGGTCTAGAAGTAAGTGAAGACATTAAAAAAATATTGTAATTTCACAACATATTTAAAAATATAATAGAAAATAATTTACAACTATTAAGCTCTACTGAACTGTATTGCTGTGAAAAAATTCATACTGAACTTTTTTTAACATTAATAAAAAAGCCAGCTGCATCATAGACTGATATTGGATCTCAGACTTCCAAGGGAACCATCATTTTTCCTAAATACTTCACACTTCATCAAAACCTTTAAATACAGAGTAAGTTGATAATAAACGTGTCTGAAATATGTCCCAGTCTAATGTTTTGTACATAATGTAATAACCACAACGTCACAAAATGGAGAAAAATATTTAAGTTAATGCCAGGGAAATTATTTCTTCCCACAACTGCAACTGATGAGCCAGATTAAAAACATGTTTGTTACAAAAGTCAGGTAATTCCAACTCTTTGAATCCCCAAACACTGTATTAAAGAGAATTAATAAACTATTTTATAAAACAGTTTAAGTTAATGAAAAATTCTAACAATTTTTTAGACTCAGTAACTCATGCCTCCTTCCATTTTTCCAACCAAGCATGCTACTCATTTTAAGTATCAAGAGAAAAATGACCATTACTTACTGATGAAAGTTGTCATGAATAGAATTCAGTAAGTTAACCTGTGAATTAGGAAAAACGAAATAAAAAAAGAAGAAAATACATATTTGTCTTTTCTGGTATGAGTTTTCATGGACAATACAATGAAATTCAGGTTTAAAAAAATGACATCTGCACTAGTTTTATTGTGCAGATGAGTTTTACAGGTTTCCAAACAAGCCATGCATTGTTACTCACTTTGCTTACATGTATTTTACAGGCTGTTAAAAGATAGAGCTTCTAAAAAGTACAGAATGGCATTACACATGCATGGCTTCTTTTACAAGATACTAACATTGCACTGAATCTAGACAGAAATAGAAATGTATCACAGCATCACAGGAATATTTGGTTGCTCTCTTTATAACCTCCCTCAACTAATTAAGCTATATATTGAGTATTTTCTTCATAACCACCATTGGTTTTTTTGTTGCTTTCTGCATACTGTTGAAAGCACTAAAATTCACAATGTAGCAATTAATGTGATTCTCTCTTTTGACTTTGAGTATGTCTTGCAAGTCTCCTGTGGCTAAACCTTCCAAGCAGCTTCTCCTTTTGATGAAGACTTGAAAGTGTTCTGCACTAAACAAACCTCAGTGTTGCAAACAGAATAACTTGGCTATGGAAAGCTAAACTGATCTCTCCCAAATTTAAATCTTCCATCTAAAGGAGACAGCAATAAGCACATGGCAATAATACACTGCAGAATGTTCCTGACCTTACTTTGAAAAATTCAAACTAATTATGAACAGACGCCAAAGCAGATGAGATGCTTAAGAATTCCTGTTATTTAGAGGAAAGAGATCACTTTGTGACTCCAATATATTTGCCAAGTCCACATCTCTGCCTCAAGGTATTTCCAATAAGTATGTGTTTAAGAATGTAATTACAGTTTTTACTGCAAAACAATCAAGTCATGCAAAGTAATACTGCACAACTATTGAGCAGTACAAGTGATGATGTGGAACACTGCAGACAGCAAAATCAGTGTATAAACCCCAAAAGTCAAAGACATGATGAAAAAATTAGTTGAAAAGCATTTAAAGAAGAATGTTTCACAAACTATAATTAAAATCTTCACAATGTTCAGAGAACCCCTTCATGCCAGAATTATAACTTTTATAGCCAAAATTCCACTGTATAACAATTCCTGCTATTGCTATTTTACAGCAATTACGTTCAGCATATTTTATGAAAGGGTTGGTTTTGGGGGGAGAAAAGGAAAAAAAAAAAAAAAAAAAGGAGTTGGGCAAAAAAAAAAGCACAAGCATATTCCTGAAAACTTCGTGAGGCACAGATGCCAAAGGCACCTTTTATACATTACTAGACAATACTTTCTTGCTGAATCCTTGCTTCTAATATTACAAACAGCACAAGGAAACCTCAATTGTGTTACACATTTAAGAAGATTCAGACCGCATCGAAAGACATTCAGACCTCTCTCTTTTGTGACTGACACCAATCTAAAAGAAACCCTTGATCAATTTATTTGCCTTTTGAAATTGTATCCATATAAATTAAGATTGAAACTGAAAAAAACAAGCTATCAAAATGCCCAAGAAGGCACTGAATTATATTGGGAAGAGTACTCTCAACTTTTACAACAGTGAAACATCTGCTCTGTATTTTGTCGGCTGCTTTTATGTGCCCATTTCAAAAACAAACTTTGCATCCTTTTTAAATTTGCAGGCTTGCCCTCAAAATAAGAAAAATAAATCTTTGTTAACAGGTTACTCTAACTTAGAGGAGAAGTTAAAGTAGTATGAATTCTATAGCTGCTACTTAATGTAGTATTTTAAATCTGGTATATTGTTATCTGCACCATGTTGTATCACATTATGAACACTTTTCACCATTTCAAATAAAAAAACAAGAACAATGAAAGTTTTATAGCTAGGGTTCCTGAACGTTCAGTAGGTAACTGACATTCCATGGCATCATCATCGTTAGTTTGTAAGAAGCTAACGCTAGAAAAACTTCCAAGGAAAATTCTTAATGATATTTTCAGGAGACGAAAAAGAAAGACAATTTATTTGAAGATCTTTGGAACCATCAAGTAGAATAACAGCAGAAACAGATTTTTTTTTCATGCTCAACTGAAACTATTGCCAGCAATTGTTTCTAGAGCACAGCACAATAGTAACTGCAGGTTAAACTTTGGTAGGATCCGCTTTTTACTGATCATTGACCTAACTCAGAATACATAAATGCATATCAATTAAAAAAAGCCATAAGGCTCAATTCAGCACAGAACTTGAGAGGTTTTTACATTTATTATTTACATGATCAATAGAAGTTACTTTTAAAACTTCAGTGATGCAGCTTGGATTCTGACAACATTCATAGAGCAGTAGAATACTTTTCTGCGCCAGGAAGGGCCTGATCTACCCTGACACAGAAGTCACATTTCTGAATTCAAAAACTGAAAGCTATCTGGCACATGTATTAGAATTAGTTCCTTAAGGGAAGAAAATGACTGCTCACCATCTTCAAAAACAGGAGATAAACTGCATTACACAGAGGTTTGACTACTGTTTGTCTCACAAGCTAAACAAATATATCCAAGTAATGTACAACTAACTGATCTGCTTCTATTTTATTAGAATTAACAGAGAAGCCTGAAGTATCAAAACATTACAGACTTCTAAAGTAATGTCCTCGCTTTCATCAAGTCTTGACTGCTCCTATTTCTGGACCTTCATGATAGTCACACACTTGTCATTGCAAAAAACAATAAAGTGGAATCACTCTAATTAAGTCATACCCAAGAAAGAGCCAAACTTGACATTGTAAGGAGAGAAGAGAGGGGAAAAAACAAGCTGCTTTCATGAGAAGTACTCTTCTGGTCTTGATCCAGTAAAATCACCAACAACACCAGTGTAGGCAGGCTCAGTCCCTGAGAACTAACTCTGATGTTGTGGGCAGAAGTTGAAATCACTGACTGTACCACTGGTTCATAATAAAAGACAGACCAAAAAGAGACATTTGGCCCTGTGATAACAAGATAGAGGTATTTCCTAATCAAATGTTACTCGTGTTTTGTGAACACAGTGAGTAGTTTAAACCTGCTGTACTAACAGCCCTTCTTTTACAACACAGACCTTCAATATTAAAATTATTCTCAGGAATCAGTTGTTTCATTTTTCCTTAAAAGACTTAACTCTGCTCTGACACAACTAAATATTGTGAAAGCCAAGGAAAAACTCTTTATCTCCTTCTTCTCAGGCTATCTAGAAAACAGTAAGAACATTTTCTTACCTCCTTTTCCAAATATACTTTTTTATCATCCAGTGTATTATAAAGAGTAAAGAACTGCTTCGTTTCTTTGTGAGTTGCTGAGACTGCAAGCAAAAAGAAAGGAAGAAGAATAAAAGAGCAGGAGGTGAAATGGCATCAGTAAAAACACCTTGTAGGCTTTATATAACATAGTTTCCACTATCAATAATGGAACACACTCTTCAATACATTCTGGAAGAATACTCTTGGTGCATGTAAATCTCCAACAGGGTTTGCAGCTATCAGATTTTTATGAGAACAACAGAGCTCAGTGTTTAAATTATGCTTCAGCTCCTGACAGTCCTTTATGCAAACATGTTGGCATTATCTGCTGTGCTTCCTCACCATTCTCAGTTCATCCTTCCTTCATAAGCTTTACCCTTGTACCATACAGACTGCTGTGCTGCTCACAGCTGCCTTCTCATAGCTTGCCTGTGGTGGCAGGGAGGCACAGGTTAGGTAGGATAGATGTGAAACATAATCCAATAGAACTCTGTGGAAGAAAGTGCATTATACTGTATATTTCAAGCTCCTTGTGCAAGATGTGCAAGACAGTGGTTATTGTTTTAAAGCTCTTTTCTCTTCTTACAATTTATCCATGCTAATAGGATTAAATAATTGTTTCTTTTCAAGTAACACTGGTTTAGGTGCTTATTGCAGATCTTGGTCACAGTTGGTGGGGAAGGTAAGACTCAGACATGCATTCCCTTTGGGCCTACTAGATGATGACTGATACTCTTTATCTGCTGAGTGTGCATCTACTTGTTAGCTCTCCAGTGTCTAAGGAAACCCAAGATACTTGTGATTCACAAAGAGATGAGTTCAACAGAGCAGGACAGCTGGCAAAAATTATTATGGTTAATATACTAAGAACACTGTCTCGAAATGTGAACCTGCAAAAATGGATAGGTCAAAATAGATCAAATTATTTGACAATGAAAATTATTCCAGAGACCATGAGTAAGATAGATAAATGTGAGTGAAATCATGATCACTAAATTAAAAGCTAACAAGTTGCCTCTTTAAATACTGAACTGATATGCTGGACTGAGCTTTTGAATGGAACCATTTACAGACACCGTGACTTTCCTCCCAACATCATTAAACATCTACATCTTTAAAGGAAGCCAAATTTGTTAATTACACAGTTCTGTTCTTCAGCTGAAGCCCAACAGCAACCCACAGCTCAAAGCTGAATGTTTCAGTGACAGCAATCCAGCAGTGGCTACTTCTGCAGCAGTGAGAAGCTCAGAACCAGAGAGCTTCCTCACTGACACAGTATGACTGCGACAAATGAGGCTACAGCACGTGAAGAAGGGGAAGCATGCTGAGTCCTGGGAGCCTGAAAGCACCCAGGAATTCAGAAAGCCTGGGACAGACTGCAAAATTACTAAGGGCTATTCAGCATGTTCTACAAAGATTTTCCAAATGCTGAAGTTGGGCTGCTTCTTGAAAACCTGAATGAGCATGAAGATCACCAACAGGCCTACTTCAGTGTGCTCTCTTAATTAGTTCAGTTTTTGCAGGACCTGCTGCTGCCACCAAATGAAGAGGCCTTTCCTAAACCATTCCCTTCCTGCAGCTCTTCCCTTTTTTTGCAGCAGTTCTGGTAGTCACAGATCTTTTATGAGTGGATTCCATTTACCTACACATAAGAAAACTTTTCAGGATTTCCAATAGGTTAGAAAGTTGTACCAGCTCATGAAGTCTTACAAATACAAACTAGAGCCCATGTCAGGTAAGACAGACAAAGCAAGAAGAGCAAGAAGGAGCCAATTGGTTCACTGATTCTTTTGAAACCACAGCTTAATGTTTTAAAGGGAAGAGCCTTCTGGTAGGTAAAAAAAAATACTGGAACTTAAAAACATTCTAGTAGAATCAGCGCGGTTGGACAGCATTGCTGAGGATTGTCTTGTCCAGCACACTTTGGTTCAAATTTAAATAGGTTTTGGCAACTCTGAAGATCACTTGAATGTGGTTAAATGAAAAGCCTCCCAAAATGCCACAATTCACAGTGACTTGCTGGAGAATTTCAGCTTATTTATCAAAAAAAGTAGCCTGTACACTGCAGATTCCCCCCCATGGCTGAGGAGTGTTATCAAAGTTACTACTATAATTTTTTTACTATGGAAAACAAAGTCCCTTAAAATCCAAAGCACCTTAAATCTACACCCAAAACCACAGGTTTTTTGACCATGGATTATTTGTCTGAATTCACTTAGACATGACAGAGAAAATCTGTAGAAAATTTAATAAAAGACAACAAAGTTTTCTTTATAGCTTGACCTGATTAAATAAACAGCATGGCATATTAGAAAGAAAGCAGGGGGAAGGAAGTACTGGATTTGTACTCAGGAAGGAAATGCGTCTATTCCATGCTGAGTTAGACACCACATAAAGCTGGCACATGACTGTGTCACTACAGATGCTTTATCAGGGTAAGAGATTTGAATCAAAGTTTGGCAATTTTAGAACTGCTCAACATTCTAGAGCTTGGTTCACACACATTTAGTAAATGCAGAAATTCTTTAAAATGTAAGTTTCTGCCAAGAAGAACTAGCTAATTTTAGCTTATGCCACTACACGAGCTATATGAAATATACACCAGGAAGTATACTGGTCTGTTATCAGTTTAATGAAACAGCTTTGACATTTTATTCAGTTTGCATGCTCCACACCATCCATGCACAGCTAATCCATACCTACCCAAAATGTCAGCCAAACACTTTTCCCCATTTTATAACTCATCATTAAAAAGTTAAAGACAGTTTGTACTCTGAGCATACCAAGATATTGCAGGATATTTATAAATCAAAAAATAAAGAAAGCAATCCCTTCAAGAAATTGCCTTTACAACCTAGTTCTTGACATACTTTGGTTCAGAACCAGATCTCTCATGTCAATGAAAACAAGCTAATGTCAGGAGCAATCAATGAAACATAACTCAAATTTACAGTAACCTCATTTGTAAATGGTGAAGTATGAACTTTCTAAACTCAATGGTCATTAAACTAAAGTACTGAAGCTGTTGAGAAAAAATTCACTCCAGAGATCCTCTGCATCAAGTTTCACCCTCAGGAAAATTCTTATGTCCAGCTTATAAAGCCTTGAAAATAGGGGGTATAAGATGAATACCAAAAGACCCTTAAATATCACAAAATTAGCAAGTGCTGCTGTTACATGCCATATGCTTAAAATGCAGTCACCCTCCTTCCAGGGCTTTAGCCTTCAGCAGTATGTTCCTGCTTGATATACATCCCCTGACTGTAAAGTTCAATAAATCTCTTCTGATACTGTGTTAGCTCAGCTCGGCTGGGTACTTCATCAATCTTGCGTTGTAAAATCGCTATTTCTCTGTTTCTTCGTGCCTGAATAGAAAGTTAGGAGGGGAGAAAACAAAGCCTCTTCTTGTTATCTTCTTAAAATGGATCAAGCCCCCCCAGCAATATTTTGTTACTGAATAATTAATTAAAAGAAACAAACAAACAAACAAAAGCATTGGCTGAGGATCAATTTTTTTTTTGTAATTGATTTGCAACATAAAAACTTTTAGAACAACAAAAGAAGTATTGGAAGTTACAGGCTAAGAAAAACATCAATAATTTTGTAGCAGTAAATTTACAAAGAGTAACTCACCAGTAACAGCCGGATCTTTTGAAGTTTATCCTTCTCAGCTTTATACTGCTGTTCTATAATCTTATTTGGCTCCTAGAATTTGAGAACCCAAAAAGAAATGTGTATTACAGCAGCAAAAACATGCAGACTGCCTGTCTTCTGTTTAATGGCTCCCACAGTAACACCACTTTTTGCCATTATTTAACAATGATTCATAATCTGCATTAAAGATTTAACATCTTTTACTGTAAAGAAGTGCATTTTGCTAGCTTTTAAGCCTTTGATGTTTTAGTTTTTAAGATTTGACAAGAGCTTTTCCACTGCTTTGCAAGTCACACTTTAAATGAAGATACATATCAGAAGATTGTCCCTACTCCTTGTATAGACGTTGATACTTCAATTCAGTGGCAGAGTTAAGGATAAACACAGTCCAAGACAGAACATAAATACTCTGACATGTATTCCAGATTTCCTGGCTTGTAGACTTAAAGATAATTTTTTCTTGCTTGAAGATTTAAGATGTAAGTTTCCACTTCAATTATTTCATGCTGTGTTCAGATGGAAAACAGCATCATGGAACCTGTAGTTACCTCATTTCAGAGGCATAAAAGGATCAAATGTTTCACCACTGAAAATATAAGTAGTTTAAGCTTTTTCTTTTCTGTTCTACTGCCATCAGCCTGGATGAATTGGTCTTAAAGCCTAACTCCTTACAGCTGCTCACTACATGCAATGTACTGAGCCACCGAAAACTTGTGCTTTCTTTCTTCAAATAAACTTTTTAAAGAAAAAAATAACAAAACCCAACGTGTTTCTGAGGAAGACCTGTTTTTTTCAGAGATACACACTGCTCTTAACACAACATCCAGAGGTTCGTCTCTGGAAATATTAATAAAGAAGTACAAAGGTACAAGTACAAAAGTACATAGGTGCAAAAGCATCTATGAGTTAGCCCCATGGGTTATGCAGGAATAATGGAGAATACTACAGCTATATTAATTCTACTGTATTTCCATTATTATTAGACTGAACTGTGGCTTTACCAGAGGGGGAGAATAGAAATTTTCAGAGATTACAAAAGACAATAATGCTTACAACGATGTGCTAGAAATCAGACGGACCTAAAGCAACATTTTAAAACACAAATTGAAAATAATGCAAACACCAACGACCAAACCATAAACATTTGTTATTACCTGTTCCTCCCCATTTTCCACTGTCTCAGCTTTCAAATTCTCAATATTTTGTTGAAGTCTCTCCATTTCCTCCTTTAAAACAAAAACAGTTTGTTTCTTTTAAGTGAGACCTAGTCTCTTAACAGGGGAGAGCAGGAAGCCTGACAACACACACCTCTAACAAAACTGTGCAGCTGACCACACACTTTATATGGTCAGAAACACATGACATGACAGCAAGTCAGGAAGAAATATAATGTTTATTTAGAAGTTTTAAAATGACTCCTTATATAAGAAACTAAAACTTACCCTACAATGTGCTTTGAATTCTTGCTCCTGGCTTTTTAGGTTCTCATTCATGGCCACCAGTGCTCGCAGACTCTGTAATATGCTAAATTTGAAGATCCAGTGAACCACATTAGATTTTCAGTTTGTAATTTAAACAGATGGAAAACTAAAAGTCATTAGAATAAGCTTAGTTCCAAGTAAATTTCCAATAAAATCTATGTAAACTAAACAACAAGTATCACCACTGATATACCAAGGTCAAAATAAAACCTAGTATTACACTGCGTATTTTGATGACTTTGCTATGTTCTGACCTCATTATTGTGAAAGTTTTAAGAATCTCTTATTTATTTATTACATTTATTTATTTTATTTTGTGTGAGATGAAGGCTTCAAATATAAAGAAAATAAAATCAGGAAGGAATCATCTATGTGTGAAATGTGTCTGGGGTTCTTCTGTTTTAAATACCTACAATTATTTTGAACTACAGACAGACATTTTCATTCTGACTGAATATTAGTGTTTTCCTGTCTTTGGAAAGCAAGCTGAATGATTCTTTATTTTTACAATTCTAGTTATTTGCTTAAATTAACAAAACAGGAAACACTGAATGATTCATTTTAAAACCATAATTTTTTCAGAATTTCAAAGGTCACAAAGGAAGAAACTTACCTAGAATCTGCTTGGGATTCTATTGTTTCTAAGGCTGCCAATTCCTTGTCCAGCTTCTCACTGTAACTCTTTACCTAAGGGTTGCAATTAATGACAAATTGAAATACACTTTTACACAAAATTATTCCTGGTACTCAGCTTCCCCATACTGCAGGATCAGGGAGGTAATCTGCCAAACTACCATTTAATACAACTCTCCACACCCCAAACTTTTTAAAAAATGAGTCAGCTGGAATCAGTGCACAGAAAACAAAGAAAGGTTACCTCACTCAGTGTCTTTTTGGCTTCAGTACATTTTGCCTGCAGGTCAGCACATTTAGCTTGCAACTATTATGAAAAAGAAAGAAGAGGGTTTGAGTCTATCTTCATGCTAATTACATCAGCAATACCTGAGCTGTTAGTAGTGGTTGTCTATTAAAGAGCAGCTTTTACAAAATGGATGCCACCAGAGTGGTAACTTATTGGACAAAAATCTCTGCTGAATTGCTCGCAGTTACTTAGCCTGACTATAATAGCTTAGTCTTTGATAAGGGTAGGAAGACAGTTCCATTTCATACTTCTCCAAGTAAGCCAGGGTGATTCCAGACTTGGCATCCAAGTGCCATGGCACCATGCCATAGTCATATCCAGCCCAAATAAGCATGCTGAGGTATGATTCTCTTTTGTGTAGCTATGGCAAGTCTAACAAGAAGGCAGTTAGCAAAACACTACAGGATATTTCCCATGTCAAATAATTCACAGAGGATAATTTTACAAGAAAATCCTTCTCTAAAATCCTTATGATTTAAAGTAACATTGCAACTAGTAACAACAAAAATGGGACATGAGTTACAGGAGTGGAGCAAAAATGCTACAAATAAAGAAAGGCACATTTGGCTTCCTGTTCCACTTCTTTTCATGTTGGTTTAATTTGCTGTTCACAGCATGGAGCTGTGACTCCACACTCCACTCACTCTCTTCCATAGCTGAATTTAAAAAATAGAAAGCTTTTAAATTGTTTTGTTTGTTTGTTTGTTGTTTTTTTTTTCTATTTTTCACCAATAATTCACCAATAGAATTCTAACTAGTTGAAAAAAGTTAGAATTCAAGCCTGCAGTCCATGTCATGAAAACTGACATAAAGATTAAGGAACTATTTGTTATGGGAACTCTTGCCAAAACTTATTGTCCTACTGAAGCCAGAATTTCACAAATGTTTTTTAACAGGGGGGAGTCTTCACTGTCACTGATTTTAGAAGCTTCTTGGCAAGTGGCAAAGAAAAAATCAGCTAGGAAATTTTTACCTTATTAAGTAATAGAAGGATTATATTTGGCTTTTAGGTGTCAGTACATTTTTCATATAGAAACATAACACTGAGAGTGTCACACACTGGAAATAAGCAGGGCCCTCAACTGATAAAATGGGAAAATACACAGCAACAGATATAGAAAATACTTCAGGTTTCCTTTGGATTATGAAGTTTGTTTGGCAGTTAAGAGCAGATATGCCATTAATTAAAGACTCTATCAATCTTGTATGATTTACAATCATGTTTCCTCTCCACTCCAAACTGCTTTTTTCTTTTCAGCAGTATGTGGAAAGCAAGCAAACTCTTTCCTTCATATGTCAGGGAAACTGCTAAAGGAAACTACTTGTACCAGGCATGAAAATGTAATCCACTCGACACGTATCCAGTTACTGGCATATTCCGCATTGCTTATTCAGCAGTCACACTATGCTGTAATTCTGTAGAATATAAGAGCCATCTGACCCCCCAAAAAATGCTTGTGAACATTCCAGTCATTGAGACTGAAATGCATACAGACATTGGCAGATCATTCCTCCTTTCCAGATCCTAACAGCAGAACACAGAATAGCTGGAAAACCCACCCACAATTGCCAAGCTTGTTCACCAGCTTCTCCTACTGCTCAACCAGGCAAGAAGGATCAGCTGAGAGACCTGTGCTAGTGCACTTTTTCATTTTTTGGAACCTGAGCTGTTGCAGCTTCCTAGGGCCACTCTTACTACACAATTACACCTAGGTTGTCCTCCCCAAGACTAAGCTTGAGCTATCTCCAAGAAGATGACCTGCTCTCACAAGACAAGGGCTGTGGTGCAGTGTTCTAGTACATACACACGTTCAAACTGAGCATGAAAAAAACTGCAGATGGTTGTGAGCTGGTGGATGCAACCAAAACTGTTGCCCATCATGACAGCAAAAATTCTTATCTGGAAGAGGTTTGCAACCTGCAAGCTCAGAGCACATGCTGAAAGACACAACATCTGTCTCTGTTCTACACATCTGTATCTCCCTTCATATTTGTCTTTGTCCTAGCTTGAGACTTTGTGGTCGAAAACAAGAGTCAAAGTGTGACATAAACATATTGCAATGACTGAACAGCCTCTTCTTTTTCCCCACTTCTGAAATTCCAAAGACCTTATTTTGTAATTTGTGTTTCTACTTGAGGAAAAAAAAACTCAAACCAACATGGGAATTCATGCAGAGTTTCCTGCCTGCCCATATTATGATTTTGAAAGCCTGACACTTCAGCCTTCATTTAAATGCTAGGTATTGTCAGTATTTTTGTTTGTTTTTAAACCAACAGTCATCATCTTCCAGGGCAACAAAGTTTTGTTTGACTTAAATAGACATGGAAAACTCAGGTTACCAAAATGTTAAAACAACACAAACTGAAGTAAAAAAAAAATAATTACAAAAAACCACTATATCATAATTAATATTTACAGCAACAATATTATTAATAGTATGTCACAATACTTTCTAATATTTCACTCTACAAATGGAGAAGAATTGGGACAGACATGATTTATATTCAACATACAGTGCAAATAATAAATGCAGTGTTATTCACTATTAAAATACCATCTTTTTAACAGATAGGGCATGCCAGAGGGCACCACAAATAGAAATGCATAAGTTCAAGAAGAACAAAACTTGTTGAGGATGTTCAAAGGAGACACATTCTAGTATTTACTATCATGCTCTGCCCATTTAAAGTCTTCTTTTGTGCAAAATAAATTAAGGAGAATCTGTACCAGTTAAGCATAAAGCTTTTTATTAAAGCTAGAAAAAAAGAAAGAGTTAAAGAATGGAATAGATAGTATTTCCAATTTTTTTGTATATAAACTTTATTTCTATAGCTTTATGTAGACTTAATATTACTTGAATGTTAGTCAGAGGCTTAAAAAAATGGTTCACAGCATATGTTTTACTGAAAGGAGTTTTAAGTTCTGAAGTGGTAAATAACCTTTAAATAAAAGGCTTTACTGAACTGTTAGAGACTAAAAGGAAACAAAAAAAGAAGTCAGATCCAGTAAGTGGCTGAGCAGGAAGGTTTAAAATCTGGTACTCTCATAGTTACACCATAGTAGGTAAAGCTTTCAAAGCTACCCTTCCTTCACCTCTGCTTTTTAGAACTGGATATCACTGTCTCATATCATGTGCCATACAGATCTTTCCAAGTCCCTTGTACCTCCAAGATCTAATAGGTAAAACCAGCTAAGATGTACAGTGTTAAGATGTTACTGACAAGAGCAGAGCCAAAAAAAAGCAGATGAGGGCTGCTGGAGCAGTGCCAGCCTTTGGACACAGCATCCATCACAGAGGCACCAGCAACAGTTTTTACTCAAGTACTATTTGGTTTTTGGCAAGATCTTCCAACTCCTGACTCTGATGCAATATGTTTTCATTTGATTCTCCAAGCTGAATACAGCATGGTGCTGGTTACAGCAGTGTGGATAATTAAAAGCAACATTTCATTAATGGCATAGCTTTCCCACTCAGGGTTCTCTGCATTTTAACAGCAACACCATAAGTAGGTTGATATGTAGGAATGGTGGTTCTTACTCTGATTTATAGATATGAACAGAACATCAGTCACAAATTTAAGAGCCTTTTCCCCTTAAAAGCACATATGAAGATGTGAACCAAGCAGTGACTGTGCAAAAATACTCCCAACAAACAAACAAGCTAAAATCAGGCTTTTATATAAAAGGACAAGAAGTGATAAAAACCCATTTCTAGCATATTTTGGAGTAACTCCCTAAATTGCTGCTTGAAACTGTGGAAACAGCCCATTCAGCACTCTAGCTTACAAGTCAAATGGAGATACTCTGATTTTCTCAGAGATATGCCAAAAAGAAAAAAAGAGGAAAAGCATGTTTTGATTAACCAGACCCCTCCTCACAGACAGGGCTAAACAATTTTTAATATAAAACCAGCCACATTGTCTTAGTAACAAATGTGAAAGCAAGATGTCCAGAGATGCTGAAATTAACGTCCAGCTTGACAAATTGCTGGTACAGAAGATAGTTTGTAAATCTTTTCTGGATGGAAAACACTTCATGACCAACCACATTTATCAATGTTTCCTTCTCTATTACACACACAATACTTACCTCTTCGAGGAGTTTGGTTTTATGCAAAATCTGCTTATTCAGAGATGCCACCTTCCTTCTGTGTTGCTGGGCAGCTCCAAGCCTTTCTGGTCGCTCCTCAGCAGAAAGCTCAGATTGCTACAATAAACAATAACCACAGCCTGTTGGACCTCACAGTACTACTTTTTGCATCTGTAGCAGCTTAGGAAATGCCAAAGTGGGACATAACTGTGATATTCCTTATTAAGAATTGTGCCCCACTATCCAACAGAAAGAGTGACTTGCCATATTATCTCAAATCAAGATAGGAAGCAGCTGAACAACTGAATTATATCCCAAAAGTAACAGGTAAGGTAAGCTAAAAATGAAGTCAGGTGCCCTGGAATGGGTGGGATAGTATATATGTTTTGCATCTCAAGTACATTAAAATCTGGTAAAGTTCTTAAATGGAAAAAATCCAAACATGCTAAAAACCACCTTAAGCAGTGTTATTTACTGAACTTGTTGAATCAGAGATGCTGCATACCCCAATAAGTAAACCCAAAACTTCAAAAAACCTTGAAGAACTGTGTATTTAGATTCTGAAATCCTGGTTTGGATGTATCTTTATGCTGAATGACAACATCACACTCAGTGTGGTAGATACATTTACCACTCTAAGTGGGCTTTTGTTTGGTGCGTGAGAAAGTGTCTCATAAACACGTAATGAAAACAGCAATCTGGATCCAGTCTCCTGTTCTGAGTTGTGGAAAAAAAGGTGCCAGAAACATTCTTTACCAGGAATAACATTTATAATAGAAATCGTATGTTTGCAGCAGATGAACGATTAAAAGTCACTGGTAGCTAAATGCCCAAGTTATTATTTGCCTAAACATTATTTGTACCTTTGGAAAGTTCTCACTTTTATACTGACATCTGTTTTGGTAATTAGCTTCATGCAGACTTCTTTTTCCAGTTAATCCATTTTCCAATATTTTGTTAGAACAACAGTTAATTTTCAAGTACTTCAGGTGCTAATTTGCAATCTGTCAAAGACTTCAATACTAGGTGTGTTTTGTATCGTCACCCAATGTTGACAGACAGTACAATGGAAAACCAGCAAAAATGTTACAAGTATGAAATGCTGCTCACTTCTATTTGCTTCTGGTATTCATTCTAGGCATATGGGTAAGCAGCTCTTCATTAACAGCTCAATTTTAAATGAAAATAAGAGGCAAAAACTGCTTCCTCTCCTTTATTTTCTGTTATTCATACTGAACAGCAACTTAATGATTTGTTATACTTTCACATCCACAGCAAGAAAAGATCACTTCTGACATGCTACCCCAACAATTCACAACCTTTTTTTCCATTTGTAAGGAAAGAAAAAATGCTTCTAAGCAACACCTGTAACACTGAACTACTTATTCATCAAATACATACTCAGATTTACTTACTCCTCTCATTATTTAGTCAAACCACATTCCCTCATCACGTCATGGATTCCAATACCCTTCTGTTTCACCACACAATTAGCCTATCTAATATGCATAACATGCAAATCAAGAAAAAAAACAACCCTGGAAATGCAAGAGAAAGAAACATGAGCTAAACCAGCCCGAGACTGCTCTTGCAAAATAGTAAACATTCATACAGTACAGCTTTGGCTTCAAGAAACTGTCATGTCTCCAGAAGCAGACTTAAAACTTGATTTTTGAAAATGGCAAATAACCATCACTGTAATATAGAGGTTTCTACAGAAAAATCCTTCTGGTCTGCAAATGAAAAGGTTGGTTTAAGCCCCATACAAAGTGGGCTAAAGATCTGCTCTGCAGCAGCACTTCAGCTTAAGTTACAGAGGAACAGTGTTCCAATTTGTGGAGAAAAATTTATCTTTCAGCATCGAGGGAAGAAAGCACAAATTATAGAAGCTACTTTACTTTTGACACTATTGTTATTACCAGGTCTCTTACCAGACTGAAAGAGCAGTTGCCTTTTGAACATAACTTAAGAAAGCTGTATTTGAACACTAGTGTCTCTGACTGTTTTAAGATTATCAATTTGCTACTCTATCTCAAAGCAGTAACTTTGATTACATGTGACAAAAAGGGATACATCCATCAAATTTTCATAGAATCATAGAATGCCAGGTTGGAAGGGACCTCAAGGATCACCTCCTTCAACCTTTCTAGATGCTACTACAGCTTATCTGAGATGGCTCAGCACCCTGTCAAGCTGAGACTTAAAACTGTCCAACGTGAGGGAATCTACCACTTCCCTTGGGAGACTATTCCTGTGTTTGACTGTCCTCATGGTGGAAAATTTACCTCGTGTCCAATCAGAATATTGCTAGGAGCAACTTGTGCCCGTTACCCCTTGTTATTCCATGTGACTCCTTGTAAATAGGGTGCCTCCATCTTCCTGGCAGCCACACTCTAAGTACTGGAACATTGTAATGACATCTACCCAAAGCCTTCTCTTCTCAAGGCTGAACAAACCCAGTTTTCTCAGCCTCTCCTGATATGGTAGGTCCTCCAGTTCTCTGATCATCCTTGTGGCCCTTCTCTGGACCCTCTCCAGCCTGTCCCATCCTTTTTGTAGAGCTCTGAATAACTGGCTTTATAAAGCTGGTGATGAATAGACCAGTAAAAGCCATGTTAGTAATTTTCTGCCAGGATTTTTATGGAGCGAGGAACAACACTGGAATCTTCCTTCCAGCTAACTAGGCAAGTTGACACAGCAGCAGAAAGGAGCAGCAAATGCAGAACATGGTATGCATTGACCTTCTGCAACAATGCCATCTTTTAAGAAAGGTCCTGGCACATGGCAACATCAGATCTAGAACTTGGTTTGCCAGCTATCTTCACTGGGCCTGTGGATTCTATTAAGACTCTGGTAGACAAATAACCACTGCTGTGCTCTTCAGACTGTGTATAGTTACAAGGGGTTAAAATTATGAGAACTCTATCCAAACATCACTGATACTTCAATAAACTGTTTGATAACATCCTTAACCCTCTTTTCCTAGTGCATACATGCATGCACAGGAATATTTTTTGGTCATATTAAATAGATTTGAAAACAATGTATTTTCAGTTTGACTTGAATCAGTTCTTACTTTCCAGTCTATTTATCACTGTTCTACTATAATAGTCAAGGTCCTGCTGCCTTCTCTCAGAACAGAAGAAATGTAACATTGAAATATGACCCTTGGGCTTATGTTCTTCCAATCCTCTATAATAAAGAAAGGCCAAGAATTTGCTATGGACTCTGTTGAGTTATAGGGTTTATCTCCCAAATGGGAAAGCTCCATACCTCATATGTGTCAACAAAAAGGAAGAAATATGAGCAGACTATTGGACAAATAAGAGCGACCTATAACTCATATCTGGCAGTGATGTATTGTATGTATTAATTGCTGGAAGAGATAGGTTTTCTTTTCACATTACTGTAGAAACAATCACAGTTGAACACAACAAATGGAGCTAATTATGCACACTTAATTGCCTTGACACCTAAAAGCAAAAAAATGTTTTGATGCTACTAGATTGTGAACTGGAGATTCAGGGCATGATTGAGATTTGGAGGCCAATGCAAGTAAGATCCCAGATTCTGAAGATCTGAGTGGAGGAGGCCTAGATTTTAATTTGAGCAGGCACACAGAACAATATTTCTATGCTTATCGTTGAACTTTTAACATGCATTAAGAATTTAGGCTCTAGTTTGAACAGATATCAATTCAGGCCCTTCTTTATTAATGAAAACATCTAATCAGGTGCTTAATCACAAACTACTCATGAATGCAATTCAGAACTATGTACTATCACAACAAAAACTTGTGCATGTCTAAATCTCACTAAAATACTTCCCTGAATCCTGACTGTGCTGCTATCTGCAGCATGTGTGAAACAGGTGTTGTTTAAAGAGAAACATGGCAAGGAAGTTGGAAGAGTAAGGCATAAATTAACCAGCTATCAAACTCAACTTGGTAAAACATAATCAGGGAAGACACTTACCTTTTCAGCATATTCTGACACTATTTGTTTGATCTCATCTGACTGGAGTCCAACAATCTGGCCAACTGTGCTTGCTGTCAACTTGCCCTGCAATTGTATCAAGAAAATGTTGAGAGTTTCGGAAGTGCTTGTGCTTTTTACATGGCAATTTTCCCAAGCTCAAATTTTAACATAAATGTACAAAATCTTTGCATTGGGCAAAAATCTCTAATCATAAAAGAAGACCAAGAAACATTCTACCCCCCAAAAAAAGGGAATTCCTCACTTACAACCTCTTAGTAAATTTCAATTCAGATTTTAAAAAACTTGTAATTGTATCCTGTATACTGAATTTTGCATGTGCACCAGTAAAACTTTCTATTAGGCCACCTTTTGAGACAAACTATAACAATGCACATATGTGAAATCATGAACCTTCCAAAGTGGTTTGTACAAAAACAGTCTTCAAGAAGTTAATCCTACACTGGACATCAGCAGAAAATATGTCAAATGACTTTAAGACTAGACTGCTTATTACCTTATCTTCTGTTTCTTCAACATAATCTGAAATAATGTTTAACAACTGAATTTATTCCCAGTCCTCTCACCCAGAAACCAAAACATAACAATTTTCAAATTTACAACAACCTACAAGTTCCATTAAATCATTAACTACAACCAATTAAAAAACCAAGATATATGTCCAGTATTTTCAGTGTCTCAGTCTAATGGTGTTGCTTATATATATTAATCAGTGCTTTGAAAACACCTTGAAACACCAACAGATTTTCCTCCACTCTCTCCTTTAAAATGATTACTCCTCTGGATATCTTCACAAGATGAATAAAGTAAGACCATACTGCATCTTGGGCACCTGCACTGTGATGTCTTTCCCCTTAAATTCTCCCTGTAGAAACCATTTGAAAGAGGCACTTCTTTATATTGCTTTTATAATTCCAAGGCCAAGTCATCAGCTTTGCAAAAAATTACTGACTTCCTCATTCAACCATCTTGTCTTGTCTTCCCTTAATAAAAACTTAAAAGTAGACATTTTGAGACTTCCACTAGCTCAATTTTAGCAGTAGCTACCATTATCAACCATATTTTAAACAAAGCTGCATCAGTTTTGAATGCTGCTTACCTCTTCTGTTGCCATTGCAGCCATTCCAGTCATCAGAGTTTTAATGCGGAGCTAGGGCAAAATAGAAGGAATTACACAAAACTATTCATCTTTCATTCTTTAACTTACATCCACCTAGTGACAGGGACACATATATATATATACAGTTACTAGCATCTCACATGCATTTTAATGCACACAATGGAACTGTAAATCCATGAAAGTTAAAGAAGAGGTGGCTAAAGTTACCAAATTCATGGAATATTCCTTCTAACAATACTGATTCCCTCAGAGGATTCAGCTCCCACTGTCAACCAAAACCTGACCTTTAAAAATGCTCAGATTCCAAAACATGAGTTGCAGGTTTTGGTATTAAATGTTAACAAACACTTAATTTTGTGCATCAATTTCAGGTTCCATATTCTGCTATGGGAAGCCAAGGTCACCTCAGCTAAGCATGGAAATTTTCCTTCCTGTAGAGAATGACTGGGCAGTGACAACTGTTGCCCTCCCCCTAGGCTAGTAACACCATGCCTACTATGTATGTGGCACACCTCTTCAGCAGCCTGAAGATCATCTTCATCACAAGGCTCAGCTTTTCCTGCAAGCCCTGGAGGTAGTGCAAGTTTTTTTTCTTCAGCCTTTTAGAGAAAAATCAAGAACATATAACCTTTAGTTATGGTAATCTCAAGTATTACAAAATACAACAAGAAGTGGAATATAGCTGTTCTGTTTTGGTGATATATGTGAGCTACTGGAACATCCTCATGCTCCAATTCATACCTACTGAGGTGTAACCCCCACTGACTTTCTAAGTATTCCAGCTGTTCAAGACAGTGTCTCTGGCATGCTATGGACAGATCTGGCACAAAGATCCTTTATTCCACAGTCTCCTAAGAACTACCAACCTCACAAGACAACTGCCCACCCCAGATTATGATGTTTGCTATATAGGAGAAAGCTGATTTTTTTTTAACATATTTTTTTCTAACAATATTGGTAGAATTAACATACAACATAGAAGTGTGTAACTGCCTGGTTCAGCCAGAAGAGTTTGTACCACTACACAAATGGTAACAGATACAATGCCTAGGTCACTCTACGGCACCACTAATCTGACTATTTAATCTTCCACTTCTACCTTACTGGAGACTCAATTCACACAACAAACATGATGACCACATAATATACACTATCCCAAAGTCAGCAGAATTTGTGAAGAGACAAAATGAACTCTACAAACTTCACTGCAGCCTGGCAGTCACCTTGAAGGGGAAAAAAAAAACCCAAAAGAAAGTATGGCTAGGTTTGAAAACATCTCCATTTATAAAACATAAATGCTAAATTTGTATGCAGAATACTGAGATAATGAAGAAGGGGAACCTTAAGATGCTCAGTGTACTGCTGGGTCCATGACATGCTTAATGCATTTCTTCATTATCTCTCTCTAATAAAAACTTGTAACCAAAGTCATATCTGAAATAATAAAACTCCAAACACTCTGACAAGGACATTTTATGATTCCATAATCATCAAAAGCACAGCAAGGATGCTACTTTTCAAGAGGCACTATGATTTATTCATGGCATGGCATAATGTTTCTCTATCACATTAAATAACCTGTTACATAATAAATGCCTAGAAAATTTATTGCCAAGCTGAATAGCTCTTTAAAAAGAAAAGGAAAAAAGCTCCTTAATGATCACATCATGGAGTACTTAGTTAAAAAAAGATACTCATTAAAAAGATGGGATATGCTCATTATCTCACATCAAAAAACAAACCCCAAGCCCCCTTTCTTCTACGTGAAATATGTTTGCAAATATATGTTCCTTGAGTATAGAGGAAGGAAACCCTTTAAAAAAGAAGATAGTAATCAAGTACATTTTTCATGGCATGCAGATTTTTAGTTCTGTTTACACACTTTTAGGAGGTTGTAATAATAGAAGTTAAAGCTGCTCATTCTTTTGGATTCCTTCAAGATCTTACAGTAACCAACACTCCAACAAAAACAATGTAATTCTTCCCACAACATGAATATTTGAGTATATTTTTACCTGTTCTGCTTTCCCTGCTTGTCTGCTAAATCCGTATCTCCTAAAAGAGCAACAGTAACATGAAAGAAATAAATTGCTGTTTACAACTTCCACAGATAAATTCAGTTTCTAGCAGTTTTCAACATCAAAAATGCACTAAATATGAAAGCATTTAACAAAATGGTTAACAGGCTAAGGTTAGTTTTGGAATGTTGAAAAAAGCAGGTACCACAGCATACCTACAGAACAGTTTCAGCTCCATCTACTCTACCATTGTGATCCACAAAACTTGACTTTTTTAACATGCACTAAGAGTTTAGGCCTCTACTTTGAAGAGATATCAACACAGGCTTTTTATTAATGAAAACATTTAAGCAGGTGCTCACGTAAAGGTCATGAAAGGGAAAAAGCATTTAGAAGTTAATCCTCAGCTACCAGCTATATACTTCTGCCTTTTGGAAAGGCCTTGGGAAATGGCCAGCACAATCTCTCCAAAAAACATTCATGCTTGTGTGCTTTGATGAACCTTCAATTTATTTCAAACTACACACTCAAACTTTTTTTACTTTTTTTTTTTTGAGGGAGAGGAACAATTGACATTTGAGTTACGGTGTCAGTTTAGAAATGTTACCTTAAAGAAAAAACAGGTAGAAGGAAATCTGAGGTATGAATAAGCAATCATCTTCAGTATTACAAAACACTAATCCCAGCACATACACAGATATGAAAAGTAGTGATGTTCCTGGGTAACTTGCAGCTGCAATGGTTTGATTCCTTAACTACTACAAACACAGGACTATTTACAAGCCTCTTATGGCTAAAAGTTAAGTAACCCTCAGCAGAAGCACCAATTGTCACCAGTTCCCCATTTACTCAACACTCACACTTCAGAGGTAAATTCAGCCATATTTTGCTACAGTGTAACACTAAATCCTAAGCAATTCCCCAACATTAAGTTCTCTCTGCACTTTAAAGCTTAGTAGTATGCAAAATGAGGCAGAGCCCTACCCTCCCACAGAACATGCAGAAAGTTGTGTTGCTATAAAAGCATTTGTAATCAGTATTGTCATTATTGTGTATCTGTTCCTGCATTTTGTAGGATCACAATCTTATTTTCACGCATAATTGCATCCACATAACAAACTGCACGAGAACAACAGTAACAAAATCATAACCATCAGGTATAACAACAAAGAACTCAGATGCCTCCCAGGCTTAATGTTCCACACCTGTTGCAGGAATTGATTTCGTACTTTGCTGGAAACTAAATGATAATATGCAGAAATGTGGCAATGAAAGCCCTTAGCTAAAACAGACCATGCAACTGTGTGGAAAGATGCTTGCTGGCATCATTCTGATCTCTAGCCAGACTCTGGCCTACCACATTCCAAGCTCATTTGTGATAACCTCTAAGCTGGTGGTCACAGGATCAAAAAACAATTTGGAAGATGGCACTATCACTGGCTGTATCTGAATAATGCTGCATTAGGCCTTGGGACATTGCAAGACTTTATGCCATTTGTTGGACTGATAAAATTAACCTTTATGATTAGTGAGCTCTGAAATAAGCCATTTTTATGATAACCAAGGGGCATTTAAGAGAAATAAAACCTGTTAAATAAACATACCCTATTAACAGCATCAAGTCAGAATTTGGGCTCCTATTGTACAACACATTGTTCACACACACAAGGGCTGTCCCAGTCCCCAGAAAATTTACAGGGTAAGCAAACAAAATCTGAAAAAGTCTGATTCTTGAGTAGTAGGAAAAAACCACAACATCTCCATAATCCAAATTTTATACAGAAAGCTCTCCAATACAGCAATACAAAGCCCACAGACAGTTAAATGAAGCCTTTCACCTGCCGTATTCCAGAAGTGTAGCATGAACCTTTGATTCTTCATCTAACAGTTCTTCAGCTCCTTTCTGACGTTTGTATTTTCTCTGGGGTTTGTAAACTTCCTGTAAGACAGTGAATTAATCCAGAGCTTGTAAAAGGCTTTTTCAAAACAAATTAAGAAATGGTTTTCTAGAGTCATATATACCAATGTTTGTTTCCAACTCAATATATATTTACTTACCCAAAAAAACACCCTTCACTTTCTCTTTTTTAAATTACACGATCAAATCTTACTGAGTTTACTTCTGAACAACATGCTACAGGACCTGTCTTTCTAGGTTTAAAAATAAAAATTGCAAGTGGATACTTATCCACAGACACTATTTTTTCAACCATCTCCTCCATCAAGTTTAAAAGAAGAGTAAAAAATAACAATCAAGATATATTTTTAAAAGTCATATGATTTAGCTGATAATGCTTAAACTGTTATCTTTTTTGCTACTTCATTCTATTTTAATAATTATTACATTATCTAAGAAGTTATTGAATAAATGACAGCTTGCAAAGAAATTAAAGAAAATTTTATTGCAGTTTAAGGAACAAAAAATATCTTAAATTTGGTACTAAAATAACTCAATCTCATGTTATCCCAGTGTGATCCTATACCTGGACAACAGCCTATCAAATAAAACAAGGATTCACACAAGTACTCTTTTGTGCTGATAGAGCTACTTCCAATTTAAGAACAGAATGGAAACAAAAGAACAGAGGCACTATCCTGACTGTTTAAATAGACACAGCTGTTCTGGCACTATAAATCTGCCCCTTATTAAAGTACCTTTTTCATTCCTCCTTCCATATCAATCAAAAGTCTATATAACAACATCAAAAAAATACACTCTACCTCAAGCACAATCAAAACAAAACTAAAAACCAAACCAAGCCAAACAAAGAGAACCATTCAATCCTCAGCTTTCTCCAAATTAGAACTGGAACCAAGATAATGTTTACTTTAGCATTATTTCTGGTGTTTTTTTAATCAGAGATTAGGGTGCAGTGAGTCTGTAATGCAATGTTGCTGTTACTGAAACAAATATTTTGTTATTTAATTGTTAATTGAAGTCCAGGATTTAGTACTAGCAAGGATACAAAAAAAAAACAAAAAAAACGAGCAAGAACTTGTGACCTCATAGCTATTTTATTTACTCAAATTGGTATTTTTAAAAGTGTCATTTCCCCAAGCAATTACATGACATTTTCTCTTCTCTTTCTGAAATGAAATTCCAGCCCTTACCACAGGAGAAAAAAATAAATAAATTCATCACCCAATAATCAACATCAAAAAGGAACACTGGTCTCTTCTGGTCTGTTTTACATTCATGTCTTTTAAATCTTTCCAGAGCGAGGCTCAGAATGTTTAGAACAAGTACATCACAAAAACAAAAATTGAAACCAAAGCTTGTGCTTTCCATATACACCATTAACTTAAAAAAATCCTATTCACATGACACAAGAGATTCAATGCAACAAGCTTCAAAGATTCCAGAAGAAAACAAAAAAGGAAGATTAGGTATTGCTTGATCTTCTTGTACAACACAAACAATTATTTTCAACAAGCAATTCCTGCATCATAACACTGCTGAAACAGCTTTCAATCTTTTTCAAAGACATGCAATCTCAAAGCAGAGATTTCAAACAAGTGAAAATAGGGAGTATTCTTTGGCAAGATTCTCCTGAATTTGTCAGTCACCCTTTGAAATTTTTACTTTATTTCTAATCTCAATTTCTGTCGTCTTTGTTTCCAGCTACTAAACCTTGCTATATTCTACCTGCAAAATGAAAAAGCTTTTTATGGTCAAGAATCTCCCACAAAATGTACTCTCACACCTACTGAAAAGCAATGTAAGCCATAAAAGTAATTACAGCTTTCATGGTGGCATTCTATATTACACCTGTGCTATATAAAGTGTAGGCATCACACCATAAACATTAGTCTTGCCATCAGGTAATTGAGTAGTTGAACAAAACCATGGCAAGATAATCTCAATTCACCAGACAATCACCTTTCAGTGGCAGTAGTTCTTATTCCAATAACCATTACTGATATTTAGTATTCCCTTTTCTAACCTTTAGGCCTGATCATGACCATAAATCTCATTGTATTGTCCCCTTGAGAAGAGCAGGGTAGGTCCTTAGACCAGTGTTATAATAATGAATTCAGACAACAGACTAATCTTTCACACTTGCTGGTCCTCTTTTAGGAAAGTGGATTTCTCTTCGTATTCCAATGCATAATGATTTAAAGGTGACCTGCAAAAGAGCCTTCAACTAATAACCAACTTTCTCCTTCTTCCACTTCCTATTCCCTGAAAATTCACTGCATGTTCTTCTAGACTGCACTCATGTCTCAATGCCTTAAGAGATCTCATGAACTTATCTTCCATTAAGAAGATCAGATGCCAGCTGCAGAGGATAGAATCCTGACAGAGCTCATTTAAGGAAGAGATGTTTCTCTAAAGATACCCTGAGCAGCGATGAACAAAACTTTATTCACCATGACATTTACCTAAAAACTAGAGATCTGTGGTGCAGAGAAGACAGAACACACCTTAATCTACCCTGCAGATAGAAATACTCGAGATATTTCGACAGGCTAGCTGAATGGTGCAAAACACTATCAAACTTGTAAGATTGTACCTTGTTTTCCTTGTTGTCCGTTATCTGTTCGAGTTTTGGACCCTGAATATGAAACTAGTCCCTTAGCTGCAGCAGTAGACGCATGCATATCTAATTACAGGACCACAACCCATGAATTTTGAAGTAATACATCTAATACTGTGGGGAAGTGAAAAACAATTCACTGGCTTCAACCAGCAAAGAAACACCTCATCTGGCACACATGTACTTGCCCCACCTTTGCCATGTCATTCCCTTTAAGGTCTAAAAAGGAATTTCAGATGACACACATGTAGTTATATAAAGGAAACTCAACCAAGCACTGTGGGACTTTGGATAAGGCATTTGAATGGACCTGACATTTACATTCTAAGAACTAAGCTCAAAATATAACCAAATTGGGACCTTCTCATGAGAAAACCCAGGAGTGGCTTCATTAAACAGAATGAACAATCAATATTTCATTACTGAAAGCACTTGCTTCTTGATCATAAAAATCGAACATACTTACAAAGATATCAGTGACAGTTTTGATAGCCTTCTCTTTTCTTTGCATAAATTCATCATCCTGCAAGACAGTAACAGAGATGTTTAAAAATACCAGGAAGGGAGATTAAATTTCCACCATTATGATGAGTTTAGCACATTAAGTGGTCAAGTATTTTATAGCTGAGCTCCAAAATTTCTTGGTGAAATAATTACTAATTTCCTGTAACACAGAAAATAATTTGTTTACTTTTCTCAGCAGCTAGTTAAGTAGATCTTTCCCAATACTAGGGACACCTGCCTTTAATGCTGTTACTGAATTTGAGACAATACTTGGGTTCTTTGTTTTAAATATGGAATTGCCTTGGGTTATGGATGAATAGAACTGATGGCTCTGTACTACAGGCACAAATCCAAGCTCATTCCAGCTCTCCTCCTATATTAAGGAAACTTCTTATCATTACTGCAGAATAGGAAGAAGAGAGGATCACAAAACTGTTTTAAGTATCTAAGTTCAAAGTGGGCAGCATTTGATTATTACTGGAGGGAGAGGAATGGAATCAAGATACCTAAAGCAGTGCAAAACTACCACTTACACTTCTAGATAAAACTGCACCTCTCACTCCTCTGGGAATCATATTTTACAGAGACAAATGTAGTTCCTTTTAAACGAAACCTGTCTCTCTCTGTCTTTCCCCAGTTTCAGTTTTTGAATGAAGTTGTGGTTTTTTAAATCTAGTTTTCAAGAATACATTTTGGGGTTTGGATACAGGGAGACAAGAGCCAGCTTCAAGCCCATCGAAAGAAACCTCAAGTTTTAGAGCATTAATAGCATATCAGTTCTTGTGTAGCTAGACCAGCTTCTCCACAGCATGCCAGATGTTTCTGAATACCTTTCAGGCACTGTAGCTCCAGTCAGATGGTTGGTCTGGATCCACTGCACAGAGCTCTAAATTTGTTCCAGAAGCCAGCTACCTGGCAAGCCAGACTGACAGAGAAGTACCAAAGATTGCAGAAAAACTGAGACAACTATTAAGCAAAAGTTAACAAGCACCTAGGAACTCTGTCATAATGTTATTTTTTTCCTCAGCTGAATTTTGTACATGGAGTCCTCTAGGACCAATTAACAAAATGATAGCAAAGGTACCACTGGCTTATTGTGATTAATTCAGAGCTGTGAAGCTGCGAATGCACCTGAGCATTTGATACAGTAAAAGAGAAACAAGAAATTGCTTGATCTTACCTCTGGCAGTCTATGAGTCTTTTGAAATTGTGATATAGAGTAAGAACGGATATAATCTCCCATCTCTTCCCTTGTTTCTATTGCACGTTTTACCAGCCACTGGAAAGGGAAACTTTGTGTCAGTGGAAAGGGGAAGAGTAAGAGCAGCAAACACCAAACTACTAAGGAATTCTTTTTTTAACACATCATAAAAGCCAAAAGCACATTTGAAGCACACAAACAGGAACGTTTATTTGTAAACGTGGTAACTCTGGGCCCTATTCCTAACAAAATGATTCAGCACAAGCTATTTTATAAACTTCATGTCTGCTCTTCTACTACCAACAAGCTCTAGAAGTAGAGATACAAGTATCTTCTACTACTACAAAGATCAGTAGAGCAACCAGACAATGCATAAGCTAAGAAACCACAAGGTTTTTCTCATAATAAAAGTTTTACATACAAAAACCTAAATATTCTTCATCCTGTTGAACTATATTGAACCTCAATGAGCTATGTTGTTCACACTACAGTGGGATTCAATAGTCCAAAGAAGATCAAACTGCCTTCCCTTATAAGCTTGAGGAACAGAGCCTGGTATCTCAAAAAAAACACATTTATGTACATTATTTGTAAACAGTTTATTGCAAAATCAGTTCTTTTGTTGCATGATTTACCCTTTATTTATATTGCACTGTAACTTCTCATATATTGAACTTCTTTTACATCTAATTAATTTCTTCTAGCAAGCATAGAAGGAACATTCTATCGCATATTTCAACTATTAGGAATTCTTACTTGACAAATTAATCTATAAACAAAACCATATGAAATCTTCACAAGCATAAGCAAGCTTATTAGAATTTTGCTAAATGAATTTCTGTAATCCAAATATGTATATCTTCAATAAAATCATTCTAAGAAGGAAGATGAAGAACATCTGTGAAATAGAAATGGATGTGTGCCACTTTAAACATCATTCTTTTAGCTTGCAACTTTAAGAAAAAAAAATACACCTGCCCCCCAAGGCCCCTAAAGTGCCCTCTCAAAAAACTGAATTGCAGAAACCCTATGTCCTGGAGGAAGAAATCTACTACTTCAGCTAAAAATATGTTTTAACAAACTATGTTACACCACAGCAAGTAGCTATATTATCTATAGTAGTCATTATTGTTATAGGTTCAACCCTGATAACATTATGTTCTCAAAATACAGAATAATATATAAAATAGAAAAATACACTGCAGTAGTTCACAGAACAAAGGAATGTTAATTTTTTGGCTTTTTGTTTTCATTTCTACCACACAATAGCCAGCACACCTCTCAGCTCACCAGATCAAGAGCTCAGCTGTACCAGCCTGCACAACATACATCCTATTCTAGGTTCAAAAAACTCAAAACTCCACTGTACTCCAAAAGCTGTCAATGTTCTCCTTTACTGAGCAGACTATACAGAATAAATAACAAATCCTCCAGTTTTAGGAACAATTGCATTTACAGCACAAATATCAAAATGTGATTATAGTCTGCACGCACAGAGGTTATTGCCTCTCTACTCCAAAGAAGCCCTTGGGAGCACACTTTGAAACAAGCAGTGCTTTTATACAGTCTGTGGGCCATGGTTACCCTTCTGTAAAGTAAACTTGAGCTGTCCACAGCATTCAGCTCTATCAGTCTGAGTGGCAGGAGATGGGCTGGAGCTCTGCTGGAACTTGAAGCAACTAGAAGTTGTAGAGAAAACGTTCCAGGCTGTCAGTACCAGGACCTAGCACTGAACCTGTGTTGTCTCATTCACCCATAATATGCTGACAGAAGACACCACCTGGAACACAACCTCATCTTATTAATCTTAGCTGAATCCCAGGTAGGTTATTTGCATCACTATCAAATGTTCCTACAGTAGATCACTTAGTATTTTCAAAAACTGCAGCTCCACTGTGAAAAGCCACATCTTCAAGCCTATGAAGTGTACAAGAACCACCACATGCCCGTGGAAGAAAAAAAGACTTCTGACATTTATAAGACCACACAAAAAGCCACAAGAGATTGAAGTACATCTTAAATAATGTCAGAGAACGTAAATCTTGTGGGCTGTTGACAGCCTGTGCACGAGGTCACATAAGAGATCAGATCAATCTTGGGATCCAAGTTTGAATCAGCAACAGTTTTCTGAGCTGTAATCATGAACCCCTGGAAAGTGAGGGGAAGATGATGACAAGAGATATGAAAATGCAGACTATTAATTACAAAGCACATCTCAACACAGGACTGTGCATGTACTTTTCTCTGCGAGCAAAAGCAGAATTTGCTAGGAAGAACAGCACCATCTCTGCCCACTGGAATTTTGTCTTTTCTTAATATTTAAGTTGTGCTAGAGCCTATGGCAGTGAGCCAGTTCCATCTAATGTCTTCCTGTACAGAAGGATTCATCTAAATCACTCCTGTCGCATTCACCAGAGTAGCCTGAACAGTGCAATAGTGATTGGGAACCAATGCCAAGTGGAGGAAAGAGCTTCTGTATTATTTGGGGACTGATTTGAGATTTACAGATAGCAAGTGAAATCTTAAACTCAACAGGGCACCGAGTAAATTACTATTATCAAATACAGAATTCTTACATGCTATCTATTATAGCTCTTGCATGGTCTGTCTCAGAACACAGAATACTGGTGACACCAACAAAAGCTGTCTTGAAAGCCTATCTTGCTTGGGACAAAATGAGGAACCAAGAGTATCTGAGGCAAGCAGAATTTCACAGGGACCTGACAGAAAGCCACAATTTCTAGAAAAGTTCCTCTACATACAAAAAATTAAGGTCATCAAGAAAGACTTCTTCACCAAGTATGGATTAGATACATCACCTACTGGCCAGCTACTAACAGTGAGAATCACTGCACTCAGAAGAATCTAGAAGCAAGTTTCCTCCCTGCTTAGAATTAATGTTTCTCCTATTCAGAAATAATATCCCAAACCAGGATTCTGGATAAAGCAGGTCAGAGAAAAGAACACCTAGCACTGTAGCTTTTTACAGGAGGACTAATAACTGGTGTTCTCCCTTTAGGAGAGGAATTATTTTTCCTGTGAGAGAAGTATATTTGATAAATGCAACCATTATCATCAAGTGATCAGATTTTGTTTGTTTTGGTAGAAAAATACAAGTTTAGAAGTTAAAACTCACATTAAGAAGAGACAAACTTTCTACCTTAGGCAGCACAAGCACTGCTTGAAAACTCTTAACAGCAGCATACACCACACAACTTTTTGTGGGAAGCTGTGTGGTTTTCCTTAGGAGCTCCCTACTAGATGATAACAAGAAAGAGATGACAGGGAGCCTTCCCCACTTCTTACCAACTGGAATTTAGATTAAACTCGTCCTTGCTGAATCCCTTCACAAGCAAGAGGTAAGGAGGTGTTTAATGAAAAAGAAGCTTGCTTAACAGTTCTTATTTTCCCTCTTAATCAAAGATACATTTCTGTGTGCAGATAAAAGCAAAATCAAAATGTGATAACGACATGCCAAGGATTCTTAAGATACCACATGTAACTAGAACACATCACGTGTTAGCTTGAACCTTAATCAAATGAAGAACTATGAGCACACACATGGTCAGTTGGTGCTGCTCAACAAATACACAGTAAAAGGGCAACATGTCAGAGCAATCTGTTTTTCCACCCACACAGTTTTTAAGTGGTAGTGATGAAGAATGAATTACGCTTAAAGAAACAAACTCAACTGGCTTTAGACTTGTGTCCTTTTGATTGAGCAACTATCTGCAAAACTTACTCCACAAGCTTAAACATAGGTCATAAGATACTTGTTCTGTTTTCTAGTGTGGCAAAGTAGATTATCAGGTTTTGAAACAAGCTTAAACTTTAGTTTCTTTAAGCAGATGAATTCCACAAAACGCAAAATCTGGCTCCACTTCAAAGAATTTAAAGTTTGGCTTTTGTTTTTCTTAAAAGCAGGTCAAACATCACTTAAGAATTCTACCATCCATTACATCACTCAACTCTTTAAAAACATTTGATTTAAACTACTTCTCTGTGATTATTCATTCCCAAGTTTAATCAAGAGACAAACAATAACACAGATATTTGATAAATTTTTTATCCATGTGTTATGGCCTCTTGCAGCAAAGTACAGACACATCACGAAATTATTACCTGTATAACAGGAAATATATGAATGAAATCCAGTCCCTGGATCTGATGTGGTTCCAAACGGTGAGGACACTTCATTTTTGGTAATACTGACACAATCTTTTCAGTTAAGGCACTATTGTAAAACAACAAAAAACACACATGTATATCTTTTACAATTTTATTTTGTAACTTAGAAACAATTCTGCAAACACATTAGTTAGAAGGTTCCCTCTGGTGGCTTCCACTGCATAGAGCTCTGAGAAGCAATCAAACTTTCATTTATAAAATAGCTTTTAAATTGTACTATACTACTATTAGTCTGTGAAGAGGTGAGTATATTCCTCTTGCAGGCTTCTAGCTCATGATTTCATTTATAGTATTGCACATAAAATTTTAAGTTCTGCATGTCTAGCCAGATAAAATACCCACATAAGATGTATCTACCAACAACTTTGCATATTATAGTATATGCACACATGAAGAAACACTAACCTTAAGAACAGTTGTACTAATTAAAATATATGCACTCAAAGCATAGAATAAAATGTAAGGAGTTTAAAATTTGCTTAGCAAAACTCCTAAAATATATGTTGATATTACTATTGAAACTTCATGTATTTAAATATATATTACACCGACAAGCTAAATACACACTATACTTCACATGGCTTTGAAGTGAGTAAAATTGAATTTGCTGGCACTCGTCTTTTTCTGAAGCTCAGGTAAGAGCTGGTGAAGTGAAAGGATCACCACAAAGGATTCATCTACAAGAACATCATCTTGCTTCCACTGAATCCCTTATTTTAGGACAAGGTGTTCTTTTGCTGCCAGTGCTGTCAAACACATTTTTAAAGCAGATGTCAGCACTGGGGATGAACGCTGTACCGGGAAAACACAAATTGTTTTTCCATGAAGGAAAACAATTAAGTGGTCCAGTACTGATCTCAGTGATACTCAGTGTTGCCCAAATGGACAACTCATACTCTGGAAGAACAGAGCAGAGAGAAGAAATACATGACAGAGACCAAGGTCTGGGAACAGAGCCTGAAAACTTTGACTTCTTATACGGTAATTTGCACTGTGGCACCATACTAATATTCTACAACATGGAAAAAGCAGGATCTCCCAGCACAACCAGGGCAAACACAAGGTTGTTTTTTTAAAAAAAGCTATTGATCCAATAAATGCAAGATCCTCTCCTAATGTATGTTTTCGTATTTCAGCCCAGCCATTAACTAATAAAACACCATAAAAATGTCTTCATAACAATACTGAAAAAACACAGCTAACTTTTCCTTATCTTGAGGAATGTCCCAGATGCTCATAAACATTACATGAACACCAAAACAGCCTATGTTTGTGTGACTCTGCACCCCTTAGATTTACAAATAAATCATTGTTGCTGTTTTGGGAGAGAAGCCTGGGTTTTGGTTTGCCAATTTTGTATCCCATCAGCTGGAAAGGTAGCAGGACATTTTCAGAACGACTTAATTATTTCCTATTCTGGTCTTAAGGATAAAAATAGATGCCAATTAAAAAAACCTACCATCACAATCTTCATTCCTAGTCTCTACTTAATTCTGTGCACTTAACAATGCTTTATGTAATTAGTTACCTATGATGATATGAGTGTCTCTAAATTAAATGGAAATAACCACAAATCTTTATTTTTACATGTGTTACAGTCTTGCTGATGCTCAATGACTTTCAAGAAAACAGAACAAAAATATGTTCAACTGCACTAGCAAAACAAGTTTCTTCATGCAACCCTAACTTGCCAGGTTATCTGTACTTCCTGCAAATTTTAATGATGGCTCTTTTATCTCAGCAATGGGTAAAGAAATGTAGTTTAGAATGCATTTCCTTTCCCAGCATAAACAATTTTACAACCTCCCTAATACAGGAATTAGCTGGTTTATGAGCAAATTCCACAAATAAAAAAAGGACTCCAACCAAAATGGTCTCCCTGGGTCACTATGAAGAGGGAACTCCTCCTGGGTATGGGACAGGTAACTCAGCAACAGTGTCACACTTAAAATTTTGTTTGCTAATACCTGCAATTCCAACCCAGAACCATAAAGGCGAATCAGAGGTTATTTACAAAGCAAAACTGCAGTCCTAGAGAACTCTAGGGAGGTCTTTTAATGTTGCATTCCAGTTTCCAGCAGCGTGATCTCCCTCTGCCCTTTGTTTTGGCCCCTGCATCATCCTCGTGTGCCAGCACAAGCATCTGTGCAGCTGCATAGAGAACTGGATCCAGGAACTGATTCATGCTAAAATGACCTTCCTGGTTTTTTTTTTTGTTCGTTTTTTTTTGGTAGGTTTTGATCTGGATCAGTTCCCAATCCAGTTCAACGTGCAGCTACATAAATGCTTTCACTTCTTAGTAGGGATTTGAGAACACAGCAGCCCAGAGCGGAATAGCACAGCCTTGTCTGGAATGAGCTTCTTTCTGGTTTTAGAGTTTGTGGAACAACAGCCTGAGAAATCCAGAAACCAGTGTTTTGCAAACGGGTGGTCCTGAAAGGACACTTGAACTAAAGGACACTTGAACTAAAAATCACCCTTATAAGCAAGCAAATACCAGGTAACTTCCCCCCACCCCACCCATTTCTTCTTTTGTAAGAGGAAAAAAAAATACCACACTTGCCATTTAATCAACTTACATTTTTTGACCAATAGTAGAGTTTTCCTGAAACAATAAATCAACATCGATATCAAAGCTGCAAGTAGTGATACACCATGTCATGCCGCCTACCACCTAGCAAAGGAGTAAGAGCATGGTTAGTTCAACTTTCATTTGAAGAGTAAAACCAAACACGTCTTAAAGGTTTTATTTATTTTAGAAACTACAGATCAATATTTTCTCCAACCTCTCAGTACTTATATAGAGACTGAAATACACATAGCACATATATATATATCTCAACTCTACATACAATACACATATACAACTAGACAGAAATAAATATGCAGTGACACGAAATTCCTCCCTTAGCTTCATATAGAGTTTTGAAACAGCTCTTGGATTAACAAAAATAGAAAAAGCACAACAGAATGTTAAATGTCATTATCTTTAAAAAGTGACTGGATCAAAATTTTATCAAGAATCATAATTTCCATATTCATTATATGCCTTTATATATACCTTTGCTACTATTATGCTTTGCTTGCTCCCATATGCAACACCAAGTGCTAGAGGCACAGTATAAACATAGTAATGGAAATCCCTATCTCTGTAGCAATCTCTATTTCAAGGCCCTATTCCTACCAATTCTTAGGCATTTTTAAACTCCTGAGCCTTTTATTGACTTGGCATAAATATTTGAAGACAACTTTGCATAAATATATGCAAGATAACCTAAACGTATGCAAAGGCAAAGAACAGAAAAAAGGGATTAAAATGTGGAATAACTTACCAACATCACACAGCAAACTAGGGTGCTCTACACAAGGTTTTTCTAACACGTTACTCCTCTCACATTTCCCTCTGAAACAATTAACCAGTATCTCTTTCATACTAGCAGCAAGATAATTTTCAATAGAAATGCTCATTTTTGTAAAGGTTGGGCACTGTCATGAGATGGGTAACTTTGCAGTGGCATTTAGGCAAGTATGAACCTGATGATCCATTTCTACACATAAATGCAGCAACACTTACAACCTAAGGCAGTCTCCTTGAAAGCACTTAGTGTCTGTGTGCACAGCCTCCTGAGCAGCTAAAGGTCAGTAACGCTGAGCAATCTGAAGAAACTACAATTGTGCTGCAAAGTGGGGCTGTGTTATGATCAAAGAAACAGTAGGAAACAGAAGAGTCCATTTCACAACTGCCATAGCTCTGTGTTTTCAAACCTTGGCTCAGGAATTTCTCACAGAGCCAGCACTAACACAATTCAGAAGTCTCTTTTCAACCTGAACTTTGCTCACTGTCAGTATCACACGCTTCCTGTCTGGGACAATGAAAGGTGAACATACATGACATTCTACAGATACATAAACACAGCCCAGAAATAACTTCACTAGGCTAACTCTTCCATTCTTATACAGAACCTCTCCAGACATTTATTTCCTCATTTCTCATTAATTAATACTTCTTTCTAAAATCACCACACGATCTCCAAGTATCAAGTCTTTCTAGCTGTTCTAACTGCAGCTGAGAAGGGCAAAATTTCCTGTGTCTGACTCCAACTCAGGCTGTAACACCCACAAAAAAGCAGACCAGCAGTCACCTTGCATCCAGTTGTCTCCTTTTAAAACAGGCCTTGCTGCACAAAGTTGTTTTTCAAAACTGAGAAGGTCCTATCTGTCTCAAACTGGGTCATCTGCAGAATTATTTACATAAGAAAGCCTCATGTGTTACAAGTGTCTTTCTTTAAGTCACTGAGAACTGCTAAATTAACTACATGTAATCCCCATATACTTAAAAAAAGGTTTTTAAAAATATTGCATTGTTCTCACCTTGTCAAAGGGTGATAGCCCCTTGATTCTTGCTCGAAAATACCCAGCAGCCACCAACAGTTCCAAAATTTCAGACAGCTTGATGTTCTGTTCCTCATCTTCTCTTGTTTCAACCTGACAAATGAACAAGGCGACACTAGTTCAGCTTTCCTCTTTCATTCTCCAGATGGGACACTTTCCAAACTTTATCTTAACATAAGCTACGTACCGGGCAAACCCTCGATTTCTACTAGTAACTTGGCTGTTAATTCAAAAGGTATTAAAGAAACATGTAATGCATTTCTACACGGATTTAACATCACCCTTTTTTTCCTTTCACCCAGTTAAATACTTTAGATCTGCTTTCACTGGTCAAACTTCTGGTCCACTCCTGGCCTCCAGCTGGGCAGACTGCTCCGACTGCCATAAGATCATTCATTTATGCTCCATTTTGAACTTTTATTTCAATTTCAGCGTTTGCAAAATCATATGTGTCACGTTAACACGACAATATTTCCACAAAACTAGGAGGAGAAACCCGTGTGGAATTCCACTCTTCGGGCAATGCCACACTTGAAGCCAACCCAAAGTATGGCAGGAAGAAGCAGTGCAGCCTGGATAGTTTTCAGCGCTCCAAACCCTCACCAGCGCAGCTCCCTTTGGAGAGGGCTCCTGTCCCCGTGTGACAGGGTGAAACCCCACCGCTCGCACACGACCTACCAGAGGCACGGAGCACCCAGACCTAGGCCGGAGAAAGGGCTCACAAGGCTCGACGTCTCCTCCTCAGAGAGGCTGCAGCCACCGGCCCGCAAACCCTCCCCACCTTCCTCTTCCCCAAAAAACATCCTCCCCAGCCTCCTCCTCTCCCCTGCCCCACCTCCTGGGGACACCAGAGCAGCCTGGC